TACCGGTTCGCCAAGATGAAGGTAATTGTGATGTAGCACATGCAAATATGTACTGTGAAGAGAATAAACTAAAAGAAAGTTAAATATCACATTTTCTTCTATCCAATAAACTGAAAGAGAGAGAGAGAGAGAGAGAGAGAGAAAGAAGGGAATAAGCAGGAGGTCAGAGGAAAGGGAGAGAGGAGTAATAAGATCAAAGTTGATTAAGATATGTTAATGGTTGCATCAACTTCCCAACGTAACCCCATCGTCATGTAATATTATCACCGTGCACTAATCAAATAAAAACGAATTAAAAGAGAAAGCGCCCGGGGATTGTGCTGCAGGAGGAAGTCAGGGGAGATGTCTCTGATGGGGCCAATATTTGTGCTGAGATCTCAACAGTGAAACGGAGCCTTCCTGTCTGGTTTCTTGTTTCTCTTTCCCCGGGGCATCCGTCTCGCTTTTGCTCATTTTCCACATTGCTGGTCTTCCTTATATGTCTTGCAAGTTTTTTCACTGGTTCAAATTTAAAATGGGAGAACTGTTTGTTGCTGTCGTTGTTAGTTTGTTTGTTTTTCTGGTGCTATTAGAGATTGAACCTGCGGCCTTCACAGTGAGCTCTCTCCCCATCCGGGTTTTATTCTTTTATCTTGAGGTAAACCAGGCTCGAACGTGAGATCTTCTTGCCTCAGCCTCCCAGAGTGCCGGGGTGAGTGACCTCACCCAATGAGGGAAGACTTTTCTAGACAACAAATGCGGCTTTCCTTTGTCCTTGTACAGTAGATCTGTTTTACAGAGGAGGAAACTGAGGAACTTTCAAAAAGATGAAATAGCTTCTCGGTGCAACACGGTCAGTCCCTGGTGAAGATAAAATTTTAAACCCAGGCGTTCTGATTGCGGGGCCTGTATGTTTTAGACGCTGTACTCTGTTGCCTCTGCGGTAATGAATGAGCAAGAGATTTGTTTTTTTGTTACTAGTGTGGTGAGTCAGCTCAACTGTCAACTCGCCTGACCAGGGAGCCGCCCGAGGAATCGGTGAAGCACTTTTCTGGGTGCCCCCAGGGACTGTTGATGTGTCTGCTGACCGTGGACTGAACCCTGTCGAATAGGGAGCCAAATCACCCTTCTCCTCCTGAGTCCTGAGTGCTGGGTCGAGGGTCTCAGAAATGGGGAAACGGTGAACACGGATGGAAAGTTGGGAGTTTGGGCCTGCGAGGCCGGTTGCCTGGAAAGCTTCTTTAGGAGGACCGCGTGGCTTGTGAGCCTCAGCTGCAGGAATCCAGAGTTGTCACTTTTGGGTGTCAGTGCCGAAGTCGGCCGTGAGCTCCCTTTAGTCCTCTCTGAAGTTAATCAGTAAAGACTTGGGGTGACCATGATGTCAATGGTGAGCAAGAAGATGATGATGGTGATGAAGGTGATTATAATAAGGAAGAGGACGTAAAAGCGTGAGGGCTGCATTGCTGTTAAATATCTTTAAAAATTTGTAACCCTAGGGCCGGGGATTGAGCTCAGTGGTTCCAGCACCTGTCTCGAAAACACAAGGACCTGAGTTTGATCCCTGGTACCATAATAATGATAATAATAATAATAATAACCCTAGCATCTCATGAAATTTTAATTTCACAGATAGAGGCTGTAGGCTGTACATCTATATAATTTATGTGCATATCAATATGTGTCTTATACAAACAAGTAAGATTTTTGATTTTTCTTCTAGAGAACCACTTTGCTCTGCCAAAGGGAAATATCTTTTTTTAAAAAATGCATCTTCAAGTGTATTTTTTTGTTTGTTTGTTTTGTTTTTTTTTGAGACAGGGTCTCACTAGGTAGTTGAGACTGACCTGGAACTCACTGTGTAGCCCAGGCTGGTCTGGAACTCAGCGATCCTCCTGCCTCAGCCTCCCCAGTGCTGGGATGACAGGCGTGCACCACCATGCCTGGCCTCAGTGTATATATATTTTTTGTACCAGGGATTGAACTCGGGTCTTTGTGCTTGCAAGGCAGGCCACCGAACCACTGAGCTAAATCCCCGGCCCCTCAGTGTGTATTTTTTAAAAAATATTTTATCAGTGCCCCCTAATAGTACATGATGATGGTGTTTATTTTGGGAGGTTGTGTGCATGCATTTAACATATCGATGAATTTGAATCCAGTCCCCTTCCTGTTCTTTCCTCCCCTTGTCTTCAGAAGTCCACCCCCTGGTCCCTTGTTCTCTGTTCTTTATTTTAGTTATTTACTTGTTAATTTATGTATTTTTATATTTCTCATCTAAGAAGAAAGACACAGTACAATACTTAATTTTGAGTCTGGCTACATGATGGTTTCTAGTTTCACTCATTTTCCTGCTTTAAAAAACCCGATGGAACTATTTTTGTAGCTGAAGAGGAAATGACGGAGTCCAAAAATGAAGACAAAGACAGTTCTCGGTTGTCTTCTCGTTTCATCGATTGGACTCTGCTTCACTTCTGGGATTTCTGATTTGCTCTTTTTGATGTCATCCGACTTCCCGTCCCGTTCCTCATCCGGATCATGAATTGTTTTCCTAGTTCCACTGAGTCGGCTGTGTTCCCTCGCATCTCACTGAGGTCCCTTGAGATCATTATATTGAGTCCATTTGGGGCATTTCGTCTATTTGCATGGCTTTGGGGGTCTGTTAGAGAATTCTTCTATCACCTCCAAGGCGTGAGACTCTGCCCTATAGATGGGCACTGGGATGTTGGCCTTGTGGAGCGCTTCGGTTTTGGGTCAGGCTGAGTGAAACAGCACAGCTTCCGTTAGATTTTGGTGGGGGGCGGCGTTGGGGATTGAACTCAGACCTCTGTGCTTTCCAGGCAAGTGCTCTACCCTTGGTCGTACCTCAGAAGACAAACTTTTAAAATGAAGAGAGTTATGGGACTTAAGCAAACAGATATTTGCATCGAAGGAGTTCTGGAAAGAGAAGGGATGGGAAGGCACAAAAAAATTATTGAAATGAAATAACAGTCGAAAACATCCCAATCCTCGGAAGACACGTGGACATCCAGATGGGAGACACTCAAAGAGCCCCAAATTGGTTCAGTTCAAAAAAGACTTCTCTGAGGCCGACTGTGGTCAAACCGTCAGAAGTGAAAGGCAGAATTCTAAAAGCAGCAAGAGAGGCGTCAAGTCACATAGAAGGGGATCCCAGTCAGACTACAAGCAGATTTCTCAGCAGAAACCTTGCAGGCCCAGACCGCAGGAGACAAAATACGCCAAATCTTGAAGGGAAGCAGCTGCCAGTTCAGAACATCGCACAAAGCCAGACTGCTCCCCTCCACGAGTGAAGCTGAGGGAAGCCGTCACTCCCAGGCCAACCTGACAGAGAGAGCTGTATTATGCTGTATTTCAGCGAGTGCCACCACTGAAGGTCAAAGGACACTGCTACTGTCCCGCGGAAGCACGTGACTCACCTGTGCAGGGAGCTTTCTAAGCACAACCAGAACCAGCACAGGTCAATTCAAGACGAAACGCGGAACCCTGCAGTCACACGCTAGTGGCAGATTCTTTTCGCATATTTCAAGATCACTAGAAGAGAGGATTTGAAATGTTCTTGAAAAACAAAACAAAACAAAAGTGGTAAATGTTTGGAGTGCAGGTTATGATAAATGCTCCGTTTTCTTCGTTACACAGTGTGTACACGTGTCCAAAGAATAGGCCACATCCTCACGAATACGTAAAAGAGATGATAAAAATGAGCAAGGTCTACATAAAAGTTTTTTAATTTGTCTTTTTTTTGGGGGGGGTACCAGGGTTCGAACTCGGGTCCTTGCGCTTGCGAGGCATACGTAAAAATTTGTTATTAACAGTAAAAGACACACTGCCATGAATCTCCCTCAGAATACTCCCGCCCACTTTGAACACCCTTATCCTGTTTGCTTGTTTGCTTGTTTTTTGGGTTGGTTGTCGTGTGTTTGTTTGTTTGTTTGCCCCTATCTGAAGCAGATCCAGACGTTCTCTTTTGGGTCGTTACTTGAAACATTGTGCCTGCCTCCTTGTCCTCAGCTGATTCAAAAACGTTTCCCTCTCACGGTCATTTTGACTTTGGGAAAGAGCCAGAAGTCGCACAGTGCCAGATCCGGGGAGCCCGAGGGATGAGGACACCGGCGTGGTTTCACAAACCTCCCTGTCCCTTGGACAGCAGGTGGCGGCAGCATTAGCTGTATTCTGTACTTTTAAAAATCACATCTTACAAAGACACTGGCAAGAGAGAACTTCCCGGAACCCTTGAGAAGGAGGCAAGAAGGATGGGATAAGTTTGCTGGAGGGAAGAGGGGGATATTTCGAAGGAATTCGTGGTGTGAATCTTTTATAGTCAGAAGTTTGTTCATTTAATCAGCATGTATTTTATATATTTGGATCACACCTTGTGACTCCAAAAACCGAACAAAACTAAAGTGCGCAACCTTGAGGCCACACTCTTAAGTGAAATAAATAGGACGCATGTATAAATACCGAATAGTTTCTGTGGTGTGAGAAACCGAAAGTGTAAATAAGGATCAAAATGTACAATTGATAATGTGAATTAGGGAGAAGGTCTACAGGGGTAGGGGAAGTGGGAAGGGTAGGGGAAAGGAAAGAGGGAAAGGAAAAAATACGAGGAAAGGAAAAAAAATGGAAACAAAGTTTCTGTAAGGGGCCGGGGATTTAGCTCAGTGGTTCTGCTGCCTGCCTCGCAAGCTCAAGGACCCGAGTTCGATCCCCAGTACCCGCCCCCCAGAAAAGTCCTTGTAAATAGGGAAGGGCGGAGGAGGAGGTGAAGGGAGGGCAGGGGAATGGGGAAAAAATAAGAACCAAGGTACGTCGTGTAAAGGTACAAGTTCCCAGGGATGAATGTAACTGCTATATACCTACAAAGTATGGATAAACTTAATGAAAAAAAAAAGTGCACGAAACCATGTGTCTCTCATCCAACTCCATCAGACCCGTTTTTGTGAGGCCACATGAGGGGTAATCTTGCAGGGTTTTTGGTGGTTCATGATGTCTTTCTTTCCCCTCTGCAGTGTGTTGTCGCGTACACAGCTGGGAAACCACAACTACATCGGGTAAGTCTGCTGAAGAGAGTCGGTACGATTGGTGTTTCTTGGGGAGGAGAGCTCTTCTGCTCCAGGAGATGGAGCCCTAGACAGATACTTTCTGGGCGTGAGTTAGAGGCAGAAAAAGGGCCACTTCCTTTGTTTGTTTCTTCCCTTCCTTCCTTTCTTCTACCAGAGATTGAACTCAGGACCTTGCACTTCTGAGGCTGGCAAGGTGCCACTGAGCTAAATCCCTGACCCTAATTGCAGATGTCTTGATTCTAGGTCCATTCTTTTTCCTTCCTGCTCTGAAATTCCCATGTGACCTCAGGCAAGTTACACAGACTCTCTGGTCTTCACTTCGCTCATGTGTGAAATACAGATCGCCACGGTCCCTCTCCACATGGGTGTCGTGAAACTTCTTCTTCCCCTATATTACATCCAAAGTTCTTTCTAGACCACAGCTGAACGCAAGCTCTGTTTTCCAGCCCTGCTCTCCTCACTCTGGAACTATTTACAGGGACCTGAGGACATCTTTTGCCTTTTCACAGTCATTGGCTTTTAAGACTATTATCTTGTGGGAATCAATAATTCAATTTGAGTAATCGCCCCCCTGATTTCCACAGTAGTTGTGCTCACTCAGAGTCCCACCAGTAATGGAGGAAGAAAGTTCCCTTTCCCCCACAGCCTCACAAGCATTGCTGGTTTTTGATTTCTTTTTTTTTCCCCTTATGTACTATTACAGTTTATTCACACCAGAGAAACTATTCGGTATTTACACATGTGTGACTTATGTATTTCACTTAGGAGTCTATCCTCAACATGTATCCATTTTCCTAACAGTGAATCTAGTTTCTCATTCTTTATGGCTGAGTAGTATTCCATTTTATAGAAAAACCACATCTTCTTTATCCAGTTTCCAACTGATGGGCAGATGGGCCGTTTCCAAGTTTTAGCTGTTACAAACTGTGCCGCTATATGGTTTTTGATTTCTTGATGATAGCTATTCTTTCTAGAGAAAGATGGAATCTAAGGGTTGTTCTGGTTTACATTTCCAGTGGCCAGAGGCGTTCACCATTTTTTCGTGTACCTCTTGGTCGTTTCTACTTCTTCTGAGATGTGACTATTCACTTGCCCGTTTTGATGGAGTCTTTCATTTTGGGTGGGGTCTGATACTTTTGAGTCCCCCATATACTCTAGGTAGCAGTATTTATTATGTTTCACAAACATAGACTAATAAAAATATATAAAGTGAAAAAAATCGAATATGGTCATTTAAGTCTGAATGTTACCCTTTTGCTCTCTGTGTTAGTTACCTATTTTTGTTACTGTTAACAAATACCACAAGCTAATTGGCTTATAAAGAAGAAAGGTTTTTACCAAAAAAAAAAAGAGCCAGGGATTTAGCTCAGTGGTTCTGCCGCCTGCCTCACAAGCACAAGGACCCCAGTTCGATCCCCAGTACAAAAAAAAAAAAAAAAATTTAGAAGAAGAAAGGTTTGTCTTGACTCACGGTTTTAGAGGTTTCAGTCTATGATTAGACCTCTGGTGGCATGTCATGGTAGAAGAGTCATGGAGCAAAGTCACTTACCTCAGGTCTGGAAAGCAAAAGAGAAAATGGCAAAGAGGGAAAGAGCTGGTTTCCGTAGTTCCCTTTGAGGCCACGCCCCAGTGACCTATGACCTCATGCTCCCAGTGACCTATGACCTCCCACTAGGCTTTGCCTCCTAAGGTCACATCCTTTACCAATAGCTCCAAGCTGGGGACCCGGGTCAACATGTGGGCCTTTGAGGGACGTCTGAGATTCAGATGATAACACTGTCATTGCGTGTCCACTCTAAAACACCTTCATTTTGCATGAGCAATATGAAATAAGTTGGCAGAACGGGTTGGTGATTAAAAAAAGAGAATATCATATCAACATATTTCCCAAAAGGTCATCCTTGATAAAATAACTACCTGTGCTGGCCAGCTCTCCTGTTGCTGGGACAAAATACCTGACGCCTGCTACTTAACGAGAGACAGGTTGATTCTGGCTCACAGTTTCGATGGGTTCAGTCCATGGGCCGCAGAGGACATTGCTCACCACGTGGGCAGCCAAGAGGCAGAGAAAGGAGGGAGGAGCCAGGGATGAGAAGGGCCCTCCCAAGTCACACCCCCAGTGACCCTCTGGGCCAGGCCCCCACATGTGGACATGAGACTTTTGGGGGCCACTTTAGACCTAAAGCACAGCACAGTCCTTTAGGGTCTGTGATGGTCTCTGCCTGTAGGAGTCAGCCCCACACTGTGGTGGTAAGAGGTGCGCTCTGGAGTGACAACGGGCTCATCACGTCTCGCGCGCGGAGATGCTCATTGTCATGGAGAACTCAGGCAGGCGTTTCAGTACATCCCCAGGCCCTCGGTTTCCATGAAAGAGAGGATAAGAGGACCAAGGGAAACGTGACAGAAGACCCGGGATGCACTTAGAACGATGCTCAGAACACGGCGAATACTTCATATCAGCTGCTTCCTGCGTCTTCTTGTCTTCTGTCCCCCTGCCCTCCTCCTTTTCCTCTCTCTTTTTTTCTTTCTTTCTTTCTTTCTTTTCTTTTTTTTTTTGGAGGGGGGGTTGAGACAGGGTCTCACTATGTAGTTGAGACTGACCTGGAACTCACTGTGTAGCCCAGGCTGGTCTTGAACTCGCAGCAACCCTCCTGCCTCAGCCTCCCGAGTGCTGGGACTGCAGGTGTGCACCACCACGCCCGGCTCTCCATCTCCTCCTTTCCTGCCCCTCCTCCCCTCTCCCTTGCTTCTCCTATTGCTTCTTTACCTCCCTTCTCCCTCCTCTTCCTCCTCCTCTTCCCTCCTTTCTTTGCTCTTTGTCCTCCTCTCCCTCCTCCACCTCTTTCTTCTCCGGGGAGGACAGATAGGGTTTGTCCAGTTCTGATTGGCCGGGCTGCAGCTGAATAGCCCTGGTAGCTTGTGAGTCCCCAGGATCCGTCCCAGCACCTGCCCACCCGAATGCACTCTTCTTTTCCTCTTCTGATGTGTGGCAGAGGCTCGGGCAGGTCACACAAGCCCTCTGGGGCAACCATTTCTACCCCTAGAAGTGGAACCGTGATGCCCCTCTTCCTGGATTTTCTGAGACTTGGGAGTTTCCCAGGATGCTGAGGGTTCAGGGCGAAAACCAGAAGAGACCCAGGCAAATCCAGATCCTACCTGGAAGCGTTTGCAGAGGGACTGGAGAGAACGCATGGGAGGGACCCAGTGCTTTGACGGTGCCTCTGAAGCAGAAGCTCTTGTTATGTATGTAAAAGTTGCCCTCCCTCCCCAAGTCCCTTTCTCTGACGTTGTTTAGCTCAAGGCGTGTGTGTCTCAGATGGATTTCTGAGACGGTCTCTGCTCTGGCCTCCCAGCTTCTTACCCTTCCAGCAGTAGCCAAAGGTGACCATGAACACCTGAGTCAGGTTCCCCCTCTGCCACCTCCCCTGCCCCCTCTCTCGCCCTCGCTCCCTCTGCTCTAGTCTCACTCAAGCCTCCTTGTTTCTCTGTCATTCCCGGTGTAGCCCTGCCCCAGGGCCTTTGCTCAGGCTGTGTCCAAGGCTTTGAGTGCTTTTGCCTTACACGTGCATGTGACACCCTTGCTCACCTTCCTTAAATTTCTGCTCCTTCCTTATCTTCTCAGTGACTTCCCTGTTTTTGACATTGTCTCCGGGCTGCACTTATCTGAGGCACCAGCTCTATGAGACCGGGGTATATGGTGTGTCTGGTCCTGCTGCTGGAGCTGCTGTGTCCAGAGGAGTACGGCATATTCTCAGCTGTTTGTATGAGCTGCGGAGGAACAGAACAAGTGCAATGCCGGATTTATTATAAAGAATCACAGGTTGACAGAGGCTCAGAAATCCCAAGACCTTCAGGTTGACACTGCAAGCTGGCAGCTCTGGAGAGCTGGTGATATAGCTTTAGTCCAAGCCCAAAGTCTTAGAACCAGCAGAGACAGTGGTGTAGTTCAAGTCCAAAGGACAGCAGGCAAGAAAAAAGCCAGTGTTCCAGTCTAAAGTCCATTATGCAGCAAGCATTTCTTTGCATTTAGGGGGAAAAAAATCTGCTGTTTTTGTTTGCAACTGATTGGACGAGGCCCACCCACGTTGCAGGGGGCTGTGTGCTTTAGTCCCTCCACATGGTCGATGTTAGTTAATCTCATCCCAAGGATATGCTCAGAGAAATGATTTCTGTTTTTGTGCTGGGATTGAACCCAGGGCCTTCATACTGAGCTATATCTTTGGTTCTTAAAAACATTTCTCAGAGTGCTGGGATGACAAGGGTACACTCTTTGGGGTCCTTAAGGAAAATCATAGTACGTTACGGATATGGGTAGTAAGAGATGACTGCATCTATACTACATCATGTCCCAACTTACTTTTCTTCTGAAAACTATTTGTGTCCTGTTTTTTTTAAGAATGCGAGAATTTTCTTACAGCACTTTTGTTTTAAAGGGGGTCTACCGAGACTGTTCGGAAGACATTCTTGAGGAAGTACTGTTTTGATTGACACCCAAGGATGGATGGATTGAAGTCGTCCCAGTGAAACGACACCAAGTGGGGGCAGAGGGTATATCCAGCAGCCAGAGCCATGTGTGCAAAGGCCCTGAGGCCGGGAAGAGTTTACACAACTGATGCTGATGAGATAGGTCAGGAGACAAACGGGAGAAACTGGCAGGGGCCCAGTCACATAGAACTGGGTTGTTCTGGTTTTGGGAGGGGGTGAGGTAGGGAGATTTGAGCTAAAGAAAAGGAGTAACCGGGACTTCAAAGACCCAAGGTAGCTCGAGCGGTAAGATGGCAGAAGTTTGTGAAGAGATAACGTCGCCCCTGCAGAGGAAAGAGGAAGCTGGGATGAGAAGAGAGATACAATCGGAGGCCCCATGCAGGGAAGGGACAAGGCAGGAGGTGAGAGCTTGTCTCTTGAGACCAGTGTGACACAAACACAGAGACACCTGCTAGCATCGGGGTATTTCACCCTTTTGTAAGAGCTTTCGTGCAGGCCCATGGGCGCTGGCATCATCGTTGCCTCCTCCCCACACCCGGGCTTTAGCAGGTTCTGTTAGCGTAGCTTCCAGAGTCAGTCCAGAAGCTCTCATCGCTTGCGGCTTGCCCCTGGGTTGTGCCTGCCAATCTTGTTCATCTGCACAAGAGAATTTGCCCCCTTCCTGGTCATTTTGCTTCTGTCTGTCTATGGTTTATCTTCTGACCAGCAGCTGTGCTGCTCCTCCTCTGCTCACCACTCTCCCATGGCTACCATCTCTCTGCTAAGAAAATCAAAGTCGTACGACAGTTTAGCAGATCCTGTGTGATGTGTGCCCTCCCTGGCCTCGCCTCCTTCCACAGTTCTCACAGTCCTCACTCCCCTGGCTTCCCTGTTACGCTGTGAAAAACCAGGCACGGCGGTGCCCCAGGGCCTTTGCACTTGCTCCTCCTTTTGCCTTAAATGGCTTCATCGCTCACTTACTTGGTCAGATATCTCAGGTTTTAGCTCATACACTACCTTCAGAGTGAATCCAATACGGGCTTCTCTGTTTAAAGTCATACACCTCCAACCTCCACTCCCCACACTCCTATCCTCCCCTTCACTCCTTGAGGCATCACCGGCCACTCTATAAATATTTTTTTCTTCTTTATTGCCTCTTTCATGCCTCTCTCCCTCCCGTTCCCCAACCAGAACAAAACAATTTGTAAGGGCACAGACTTTCATTCACTGCACAATTTTTTACCGAGCACCTGCTGTGTGCCAGGCACCGTTCTCTGCAGCAAAAAAGACATGCAGATCCTTGACTTCCAGAATCTCATAGCCCGAATCACAGACTCAAAACCAGCCAATTACAGAAGTTTTTACATAGCATTAAAATGCTTGGAAATTTGTTCCTTTCCCGGGGGGACCTGCTTCCTTTCCTGTAGCAGTCGTTAACATCATGCATTTCTGGATTTTGAAGGGTTTAACTGTGCTGCTTACCAGCTGTGCGTCCTTGGGCAAGTCACTCAACCTCTCTGAGCCTTTTCTTTCCACAACTGTATACTTGGAGTTGCATTTATTCCTGTGGCCACGATACCAAACTATCATATTCCCGCCGGATTAAAACAACAAAAATGATTATCTGGCAGCTCTGAGATTAGAAGTCCAAAGTGAGTCCCGGTGTTGGCTCGGCTTCGGAGGTTCCCAAGGAGAGTCTGCTGTCTTGAGTAGCAAGGTTCTAGTGTCTTCGTGGTACTTGATCAAGCATCCTAGGTTGCTGCCGTAACGGGTAAGCGCACACCGAGCTGATGAAGCCCACAGAAAGTTTTTCTTTCAGCTATAGAGGCTGGAAGTCTGAGTTAAGAAGTTGGGAGAGTCATTCTCTCTCTAAAGCCTGTAGGGTGAAAATCTGCTCCCTGCATTGTCCTTAACTTCTGATATTGTGCCAGTCCCTGCTGTTCCTTGGCTTGTGGACGCATCTCACCATTCCTTACCTGCATCATCATCATTATTATTATTATTATTATTATTATTTGGTACTAAGGATCGAATTCAGGCCCTTGCGCTTGCAAGGCGGGTGGTGGAACCACTGAGGTCAATCCCATGATCTCAGATCTCACTGTGCATCTCGGCTGGCCTCGAACCCACCATGTAGCCCAAGTTAGCTGCAAACTTGCGGCTATCCTCCCGCCTCCGTTTTTCAGAATTTCAGCCACCACACCTGGCTTCTCTTCTCTCCTCGTGAGGACCCCACTTAGGCCAGTTAAGGGCCTGCTCTATTCACACACTACTTCACCTTAACTTACATCTTAGATCTCACTGTGCATCTCGGCTGGCCTCGAACCCACCATGTAGCCCAAGTTAGCTGCAAACTTGCGGCTATCCTCCCGCCTCCGTTTTTCAGAATTTCAGCCACCACACCTGGCTTCTCTTCTCTCCTCGTGAGGACCCCACTTAGGCCAGTTAAGGGCCTGCTCTATTCACACACTACTTCACCTTAACTTACATCTTAACTACACTCGCACAAACCCCATCTCCAAAGCAGACCGCGGTGGCACGCGCCGGGAGTGGGGGCCGTAATGTGTCTTGTGAGGACGCGGTTGGAGCCCTGAGGGTCACCTCCGCCCCTGGCTGCTCCCCAGCAGCTGCGCGCTCTCCTCTGACCTGGTCCCCGCTCTTTCCCTCTGCGCGATGCAGACGACAACGACTGCTTGGACACCACCGCGTGCCCGGCCTACGCCACCTGCACCAACACCGTGGGCAGCTACTACTGCACCTGCAAACCGGGCTTCCTGGCCTCC